CGTAGCACAGCTGGCCGCGGAGTGGTGATGGAAGCCTTGGGCAGCACAGCTGGTGATGGGGTGGTGGTGGAGGCCTTTGGTAGCACAGCTGGCGATGGAATGGCGATGGAAGCCTTTGGTAGCATGGTTGATGATGGGGTGGTGATGGAGGTCTTGGGTAGAATGGTTGATGACAGGGTGGTGATGGAGGCCTTCGATAGCACGGTTGATGATGGGGTGGTGATGGAGTTCTCTGGCAGCACAGCTCGTGATGGGTTGGTGGTGGAGGCCTCAGGCCACACAGCTGGTGATGCAGTGGTGACGGAAGCCTTAGATAGCATGGTTGGTGAAGGAGAAGTGAAGGCCTCTGTTGGCGTGGTTGGCAACATGGCAGAGGTGGCCACAGGCGACAGCATGTTTGGCAGTGCTGTGATAGGAAAGGCTGCCAATGGCAGCGTGGTCAGCGCAGCAGTGGGTAAAACTTCAGGTGACATCAGGGTTGACATCCCTTGTGATGGTGTGGAGGTGAATGGCAAAGATGGGGTAAAAGAAGCTGAAAGGGGCAGAGTAGCTGGGCAAATTAAGTGATCATCCCTCAGTGATGTCACTGCTTGCCCTGCCAGGTGGGGTGGACTCTTGCATGACATTTGGGTGGGCAATCTGACCTTCTCACTGTTGCCCAGGATCCAGATGTGCAGGTAGCAGAGGTTGCAGTCACATCTCCATGGGTTCTCACTCAGATACACTGAGCTGAGCTTCTTCAGGGGGTCCAGCAGTCGTCTGGGAACACTTTCCAGGTGGTTCTTCCGAAGGTTGAGTGTTTTCAGATTTGGGAGAGAAGTAAAGACCTCATCATCCAGAGCAGAAAGCTGATTTGTCTCCAGCTGGAGGTCCAAGAGCTTGCTGAGCCCAGTGAAAGCTCCTCTTGGCAGGGCTGCTAGCTGGTTGTGGGACAAGATGAGTTTGCTAAGTGATGTGAGGTTGACAAAGATGCCATCTGGAAGTGTGGCCAAACTGTTCTGTCCCAGGTCCAGCTCCTGCAGGTGTGGCATGGTGTCAAAAAGGCAGCAGGGGAGCTCCATAATGTTGTTTGAACCCAGAGTCAGAAGCTTCAGTTTGTTTAAACCAAAAAAGCTCTGCGATGGGAGAACCCTGATGTGGTTATTATCCAAGAGGAGTTTCTCCAGGTGAGGCAGGCTCCTCAGGAGCATGGGTGGCAGTGCCCTGAGCCTGTTTCTCTGGAGGCTGAGCTCCAGCAGCCCTGACTGACTGTCCAGCAGCCCCTCCGGGAGGTCCTGCAGCTCATTCTCATAGAGCCGGAGGACACGCAGCTGGCAGAGCTTGCTAAAGACATCCCCAGGAAGAGTTGTGATCCTGTTCCTAGCCAGGTCCAAAAACGTTAGATTGATGAGGGAATCAAAAACACCTTCTGGAAGAGAAGGGATCTCATTGATATGCAGCGAGAGCTCTCCCAGATTCTCCAGCCCATCAAACAGGCCTTTGGGGATGTATCTGAGGTGGCTGTCTCTCAGCTCTAGCCTCTGCAAGCTTGGGAGGTTTTGGAAAGTGTCTGCAGCCAGTTCTTCTAACAAGGCACCAGAGATGTCCAAGTCCCTCAGCTTGTCCAAATTATCAAAGGCTCCAGGTTCAACTGTCTTGATCTTGTTGCCAATAAACAAAATCTTGATCAGGTTGGGCATGTACCTGAAGGCACCTTTCCTTATAGCAGTGACGCTGGTTTGCAAAAATATCATCTCAGAAATGAAGGGCTTTGCAATCTTTGGGATCTCTTTGATGTCATTTTTATTCCCTCTGTAGACCTCCTGGTAGTCTTTGGGCATTTCATATGAATCTTCTCTCAGGATTTGATCTTGGCATTTATGGGGATGGAAGGAGAGAAAGAAAAGAAAAAGGAAATGCTGGTACATTGTCCTGAAAAAAAAATGTTCAAAAAGCAGTTATAAAGAACAAAAAAATTTATGTTCACAGCTCAGGAACTGTGACACCACACTGTCATTCAGCACTTGGGACTCTTTTATTCACACATCATAACCGTACGAGCCAACACACATCGCATTTACGAGAGTTCACCACTGCTGGTACTGAGGGATGGAAAGGGAGAATGAGTCAGCTCACAGCTTGGCACTGGGAGATGCTCTGGGAGGGACAAGGGCTGGACAGTCTGTTCCCTGGCCCTCCTTCTCCCACATTTGGGCTGTAGGCTTGGCATGGGTGAAGAAGGCAAAGTGCTGCTGCCCATCAGCACTGCCCCAGTGGGTCCAGTCACTCAGCAGGGCAACAGCCTGTTGACGCAACAACAGAAGCAGTCAGCCCCGTGCCTGCTAATGAGGGATCAGCAAGGGTCCCAGGAGCCAGCCAAGACCAGATGACCTTGTTTGCGCAGAATTTCCACACTGTGCTGGATGGACCTGCTATTTCATCAGTGTTTCTTTCAGTTCTGGGGGGTAATTTAAAGCCCAGCTTCTAAGCATCGCCTTTTCAGGATTCTTGCTAATCACATCATAATTTGGCCTTGGTTATGCGGCTCTGTCAGATAGAAATGGTTAACTTGTGAGCAGCAACCCAGCTTTAAAGCAAGGCTTGTTAAAAGACTATGACATGTTCACATATGAACTCTTTAACACCTAATATTTAGGGCTCTGACCTGCAGATAGGAAGTGAAATCACTGATGGACACCCAGAAGTAGCCACTTAAAGCCTGCCATTTCCATCGAGTCATTTGGAAACACTCAGCTAACACATTAGCTGGGGTTTAACAGCTGTGAGCATCCTACTGGGACCATGGTTTCCAGCCTGTGATTCACAGCCCTGGGTTGGAGCAGGGGAAGGGGCTGTGGGATGCTTCTTGGGTGTCCATCGAAGCTGACCACACACAAAAAAATTATGCTGGGACGGTAAATTTGCTATGGAAAGTTACTTTTTAAAAAAATGTTGAGAGATCAACAAATGCAGGAGGCTGAAAGCCACTGAGTTTGAAGAGAAATCAGTGGGAGGTGAGGTGTGTGCCAGCAGCCCCACAGGGTTCCCTGAGGCAGAAGCCACTGCTGGTCCCTGCCCATCCTCTCCCTAGGGAGACTCGGGTGCAGGAGCTGGGGCCACAGGTGCAAAATTGTCTCCTTCACTTCAGCAGCAGTGCAATGGGTTAGATGAGCAGGTGGGAATGGATGGACTGAGGGCATGGGAATGAAAATAAACAAGTTTTGAACAGCAAAGCTCTTTTAAAACCCTCCCTCATCCCATCTGGCTGAGGTGGGCCTCAGTGCGGTCCCTTTCTTGTCCCACCCTCCATGAGCACAGGGACACCAGCTCATGGTGCTGCAGCTTCTCCTGCTCCTTGCTGCAAGGAAACGATCAACAGCCCCCCTAGAGCCACCCCTCCCAGCACATTTTAAAGAGAAAAAAAAAAAAAAAGCATTTTGCACCACTTACGTGGCCGAGCACTTGCGACGAGTCCAGCTGCGGGAGCAAGCTGTGCTGTGCGAGGAGCGAGGCCACCGGCCAGGGGTCCCATCACCTGGCCACCTCTTTATCCACGTCCCAGGCGCGGGGCCTGGTCTCGCAGGAGGTCAGGGCACAGGTCTGCGTGAGGAGATAAGGGACAGCTGGGGAGCCTGCAGCAGAGCTGTGCCCTCGGCCTGGGGGGCCATTGCAGAAACCCCTCAGAGAGGACACAGGCACGTCCTCCCCAGGCGTTATCTGCTGGCACCACTTGACTAGTCGCATCCAGGGAAACCTGGAGATCTCCAGGCCAACCTGTTTTGTAGCAGTCCCATATCTCCACCGGCATAACCCAACAGTTTCACAGGCACCACCCTCACTAACATAACAGAAAAGAGTTTTCCTATTTAAAGCTTTTCCTATTAAAAATATCTCTCTCTTTCCTTCCTCAGGAATTAGCTTCTGTAGCTAAAGTTGCTAATCTGAAGCTGTTTGTTTAAGCTTATAACAGGGATAACATCTGTGGCCCGACCTCTCCGTCAGGGCTCTGGGCTCAGCCCCACATCTCCACACCTCACTGGTCAGGGGGCAGGGGCTGAGCATCGTGATCCCCTCCATCCTGGCACAAGCTGAAGACCCTCCTGTGGTGACTCCAAGGGCTCTTGGCCAGTACAGGGCATCATGTAAGAACAGACATCTTGTTTGATGCAAAGACTTAAAATAACAAACCATCCATCACTCCCCAGCAGATAATCGCACTAATTGCATTTAAATATTTCTTCTTCAGTTTTTACCTGTTCTTATTAAGGATCAGCTTTTGCTTGCTGGCAGATTTAGAACACTCAAACTACTGTACATTTTCAACAGCCTTACCCCTTTCCAAGGTCCAGGTCCCCACTCGGTGCCAGGCTGCTCCAGAGGCTGCAGGGTGGCCAGAGCCGGGGCACACCAGGGGACAGAGTTCACAGCGGGAGGGACACCAGCCTCCCCAGGCCACCGTGTGGCAGCTGTGCCAGGATTCGGGGAGCTGCACCCAGCCACAGCATCCCTGGTCCAGGCTTGGAGGTGGGAACCCCAGCATCACCTGGGGACGGGCTGAGACAGTTGGGGCTGTTCAGCCTGGGGAAGAGAAGGCTCCAGGAAGACCTTATTAGAGCTGTGCAGTACCTGAAGGGGGCTACAGGAAAGACAGGGAGGGACTCGTTATCAGGGAGTGTAGTGACAGGACAAGGGGTAATGGTTTCATACTGACAGAGGGTAGATTTAGACTAGATATAAGAAAAAAGTTATTCACTGGGAGGGTGGTGAGAGACTGGAGCAGGTTGCCTCCTCCCCAGAAGTGTTCAAGGCCAAGCTGGACGGGGCTTTGATCATCCTGGTCTAGTGGAAAGTGTCCTTGACCATGGCAGTCTGGAGCACGGCTGAGATCACAACCCACTGCAGGGACAGGCTGGGTTAATATGACACGGAGCCCCTGCTCTGCTCCTGCTCCTCCGGCTGGGCAGCAGCAGGGAAGGGGGTGGCAGAGACATACAGCCCCTCAGCAAAGCTATAGCACAGTCCCAAGCAAGGACCCCGGCTCCCCTGTCGCTGCGGGCAGGGCCAGGCAG